TGAATGCTAGTTTTTGTTTTCCGTCAAGATTCAGGACAAATATGTGCCGCAAACAATCTTTTCTTCTGACCAGTCTCTTCTTCTTGTCGACCTTATCACACTTGATGATATCTCTCGTGTACCGCTTGGTCGACTTGTGTCACACCTTTAGCACAAAGACTCTGCTGACTGATCAATATTTCTGCACGACGCTCAATCAATCAATCAATCAATCAATCATGCATGACACGGTCTGAGCATGCGAGATGTTCAGGTTCTGACATATTGACTTCAAAAGACAAACTGGTGGAAAATAAGTGGTCAAGGCTTTGAAACTGGGCCTCAAACAGCAAGTCCTGCTCTGACCTAAAGATGGCCTCTCAACTCCAGCTCACTGTAAACCTCAGTCCCACATGAAAAAACATCTGGCTCAGCTGGGTTCACACTGGCTCTCCTAAGTTAGTATTCAACTTGAACAGTTAAACAGGCGTAAATAATCTAAGAGATGTCATATTAGGGTGACACTGAACTGATGTACCTATTAAAGTTAAATAAAACAAATCAATGTATCAAAAATCTGTGCACCAAATCTTACAAACATAATAATCCCTGAAATGCTGATTAGGCATAAAAAACAGATTATAGCTAGCATCAGATCCACGTTTTTTTAAAGCGCTTATTTGTATAAATCATTCTCATGCATGAATGCATTTAGGATATACGCAATATTCATGCACAGTTATGTAGCATGCATGAAAATCATCATAACGATGCAAAATGAGCTCTTTTGTCGATTAAACAGTCAAACAAGGACATCATTTTCACTGATAAATATAACGCGCACGCGCCCGCACAGCGATTTATTTTTATTTGCATGATGATTCTCGTCGTTTTCTCTTTTAACTACAGCCCACCTCGGCTTCTTTGCTCGCGCTGCTCACCGTCTGCACCGCCTGCACCGCGAGCGAGCAGTTTGTTCTCTTCACCACCAGGTAAAACGGGTAATCCTTGGCCACCATGCTGTCGCTCTCGGTTGCCGCGCCGCAGGGAACGGCGGCTGGATGAGGATGAGGATGAGAAGGATGAGGATGAGGAGGAGGATAGTCGCAAGCCGACCTCCCAGCCACGGTGCCCGCCAGCTCTACGCACGAGGAATCGCAGCGCCCCTGTGCACGCACACCGGCCACGAGTGCATCCCGCGCGCGCCGCCGCCGCCGCAACTCGCCGCTCGCGACTACACGACTGACTGCCGAGAGCGAGAGCGCGAGAGCTGTGGCGCGTGCGTGTCAGGCTGTATGTGGGTGTGTGAGTGAGTGAGAGAGAGAGAGAGAGAGAGAGAGAGAGAGAGACAGAGCGCGAGCGAGCAGTTAAAAACTCCTCCTCATGGGTGCACGAGCGCGCCGCTCACTGGAGCCAGTCATTTCAGCTTCTCCTCTCCTCTCCTACGCTGCACACACACACAGCTATGCACTAACCTCCTACTGCATGAAGTCTGAAGGCACTACAAGTATCCTCTACAACGCTGAAAAAGATGAAAAGCAGCCTAAAGCCTAAACGATCGTCAATAAACATCATTTCCTCACGACAATTATCTGTAGCCAAAACTAATCATCTAAACTGTAATGTTAGTAAATAACATAGCAAAATAGTTCCCTGACCATGCACATGTCTATACTAAGTAACATACTAAGTATTGTAGCATGCATGGTTTTGTTTTTTAAAGCACCCTTTTCCAGACCAGTTTCTGAACGTGGGCGGGGTTTCATGCTCCACCCACACACTTTATAGACTTTGATAAAATATTTCTAGTAAGTTCTAATGTATATTTAAAAAAAAAAAAGGTTTTAGCTTTCAGCACACACATGTAAGTCACATGAATGTCAACATGTTGTATACAAATAATTAATAGTATCCATTTCCACCTTATGGCTCTGAAGTGGGCGTGGCCAGTTTACTTAATTGGTGAATGTAGGTTGGCACCTAAATTTCCTCTAGTGATCAAACTGTTGTATGTTTACACTTTGGTTTAAAGTAGCTAAAAGGAAATTTCCTCCCTGAATGGCCTGCATATATACTTACAATAATTAATTAATTAATTACTGTGTGGTCTTCAATCAAGCAAAGGATTTATGTTATGATTAAATTCTGATTTTGACTTTCATTGACAAGTTGGTCTTTTTCCTTGGTGCTGTTCGTCTACCTTCTGATAGTGGTGCAGCAGGATTTAGATCTTGCTTAATCTGTACCTAAAGAAAGTGATGCGGCAGCGCTTTAGCCCTTTAGTCTCTCCAGCTCTCTCACCTCCTCATCAGAACGCTCTGCTCAAACAGTTCATCTTCCAAAGCTTCAACTTTCATGCTAAATCTGCTGTCGGCGCCATCAAGCTTGTCATCTAACTAGCCGAGCTGAGTCTCTGCTGTAAATTGACACAACTGCGTTATAAAACTGCACTGCGTTTTGGAACTTTGAGTGCCGAGTCTGCATCAAGCACTACTTGTACGTTGGATTTCTCATTAATATGAGGTTGAACATCAATGAAAGATAGTGTTTAGGCGGCGCTGTGGCCTCAGTAGGTTTCAGAATCCAACAGCTCAACGTCAGTAACGTTAACAAGCAATTTGATGTCAAACTGTTAAAACACTTCGTCAAAATGACCGAACATAAACAGTAGCCCAGCTGCTCCACATGTAGATGGAACTGTTTGCCAAAACACCGTGTCCTATTTGTACAACAGCTGAAGAGCTTTTGTTTGTAGCAGAAACCATTCGACCCACCATTTCAATTTCCACTGTTAAACTGCCACAGACTGTTTGGACTAGAGCATACACACACGTCTTCCGGCTGCAGACTCTAATAACTTCAGTGTGTGCAAGCTGGAGAGTGAAACCTAGGGAGGGAGAGGAAATCAAACTGGTGTCCATTCATTCACCATACTGTCTTTTTTTCTCTCCCCAAGAAAGATCTCTTAGGGCTGCCTTAGGGTGCCTCGCCTTAGGGCAAAACTGCACTCTGTGCCAGTCGGGGTGTTTTTTTTTTTTTTTTTTTTTAATGATTTGTTAACTGTTGAGAGGGATTGAAAATAATCCCTGTCCCCAGATAGCCTTGCATGGGAGCTCCCGTTCCAGCCGCAGGCAGCAGGAAATCGGTCAGAGTTTTAAGAGCCTTTGTTCTGGCCTGAGGTTCCTGCCATTGTGCAGATATCAGGCGTTGGGGAAGTGTGCTGTACTTAGCCAGGAGTGTGTAGGAGGAGGTCAGGCCTGGTTGCTGGAGCCCCCGGGCAGCTTGACGACTGTAAACAGCCAGTTCTGACACTCTCCGTCACTCAGCCACCCTTGCACAGACAACAAGAAACAATAGGCACTTGGACCTGACCTGAGGACAAAAGCGAATTATGGGCCCCTGGATACTTTGCCGATTGTCGGCTGTGATCCAAATCCATTTCCTGAGCAGGGTTTTGTTATGTACGTACTGCTGTTAATCTGAAACTGCTTCACCAGCATCCATGGTGGGACCTAATTCTACATAACAACCAGCATATATGATTCATAATTACCTTGCTGCTTTGGTTTTCAGTAAGAATCGCCCACCGTGGGCAAACCTAACCACACTGACAAAAATCCCCTTCACAGAAATTGCTGAACTACTTTGCTGATTTCCATTACAGCATAAAAAAAAAAAAGCTGCATGATGGTTATATCCTGTGGTCGAGGTTTGGGTTCCACACAGAACCTCGCATTTCTGTTGCGTCACCTTTCACTTTCCAGTCAGACATACAGCTGAGCTATGTGTGTGTGTGTGTGTGTGTGTGTGTGGTGGGCAAGTGGAACTTGAGAGACAGTGTCTAAAATTAAATGATGATGTTGCAGAGATATCATTTCAAAAAGCCTTGCTTATGATTTATCAGATGTTTTCTGAGAAGTGCCGTGAAACAAACAAAGTCTGGCGTGTTCAAAGTTCATCGAGGATTTACAGGCTGTCCATCACACAAAGAATATGTGAAAGCGCATGTTTTGTGGTTGCCTGTTCAAACAAAATGACGACATGCTCCAGCAATCTTGCAGTTTTCATTAGGATAAAAACAGTACAGTTTTACTTTAGTATGCTTTACATTATCTTTTCTATAGCAACCACTCACACAAAAGGACCTGTACGGCGGACACTCCACAAAAACGGGTTTTAAAATGTGACTAATTGTTGATACGGTGAATCACCATATTTTCTGTGAGGAGATGTTTCTTTAGTGTTTTTGTAGATGAAGATGAAGCTGGAACTTCAGCAAGGAATCTTCAGGAAGGAGTATGTTGCACTTTGTGGTTTCTCACTAACATGACAAGCTGCACTTTTCTCTTATTCACTTAATTCAGGAAAGAGAGAGAGAGAAAAAAAATGATAGGCTGTTATAACATAGTAATAACAGGAACTAACTTGTTTTGTGGACGTTCAAACATGAGAAATAAACTAATACCTTCGATACTTCACTAAGCTACTACAGGTTTTAGAAGAGACTGTCTGAATCTAAGCTCCTAAGAGTTTTTGTTCCTTTTTTTTAAATCAATAATGGCCAGTTGCTGAAATGAGTGGTATTGTCTGGACATGTTGATTTCTGAGAGTGACTTTTCGGAGCTACCTTGCCCTCTCCTCTCCTCCCCTTTCCAAAGTCCCTTTTCTAATTTATGTGTCGTATAAGTCTTATTCAAAATTAGCAAAAGTATACTAATGTATACATGGAGATAAGTACACTAATAAATAGGCATCTTCTCAGGTTTTGTGTAATGGTCGGAAAAACAGTTGGAAAAATATTCAATATTTTTTAAATATTAAAATAATTGTTGTTGTTGCTGATTTCTTCTTTCGGCTGCTCCCGTTAGGGGTCGCCACAGCGGACCATTGGTCTGCATATTTGATTTGGAGCAGTTTTTACACCAGATGCCCTTCCTGACACAACCCTCCCCAATTTTATCCGGGATTGGGACCAGCACTGGGAGTGCACTCTCGTGTTTAACCCCAGCAGCCGGAGTTGGTTCCCTGGCCGGTAATCGATCCGGGCCGCGGCGGTGAGAGCGCTGTGGCCTAACCACTAGTCCTCCAGGGACCAAATATTAAAATAATTGTACTTTGGAGTCTTATGTTTTGAAAATAAGTCAGAATTATGTCTGAAACAAGTGTAGAACTAAAGATAGTACACAATTTGTATAGACAGCATTACCTAATACATTAAAAGTACACTTTAAAAACGTACCAAAGTATACTATATTTTTTTTGCAAGGGTTGTTTGGAAATCGAGCTTTAGTGGGATTACAGGAAAATGCTGGGTGTTCGTGGGATCATCATTAACGGCATCTTAGCGTGTCTTGAGCAAAAAGGTACACAGTGCATTTTTCAGATTAATGCTCACATGACTGCAGATATCTTCATGTTCAACTGAACCACTATTAAGCATCTCTTCTTGTCATACCCCAGTTTAATCTGTCTGAATTTATGAAAAAAACGTAATCTACGATGCCCTTATATAATCAAAGGGCACATGTAATAGGATGATTTCATTCCATGATTTATTTTTGGATCCTCCCTATGAAACACAAAATGAAACAAAGCTACAGGGTCATAAATGCAAAGCATGAATCTTCTCTAAGGCCGACGTCAGGTTTGATTTCAGTGAGTCGAGTACTGCTAACCTTGAGCTTCCTCATGTGGAAGCTGTTCTGGGTTTTAGTAGCAGGGCTGTAATGGAAGTGGTTGCTGGTTTAATTAATTACATTCCTCTGCTGCTGAAAGTAAAACCTTGTGGTTTGCCTGCTCTTGCAGCTGATAAATACAAAGAAGTAAAAACGAGATGTACAGTATGTGCATGAATCAATAATGAAAGTTGAGTAAACATATTTGAAGTTTAGGTGCTAAAAATAAGGAAAAGATTAATTAATAAATAAATAAATAAATAAATGCTCAGGGGCCAAATAAGGAAACTGAGTTACATAAAGGTCTGGTGTAAATACAAACATGTATCAGATCTCCAATGGAGAACCATTGGCTTAGTAGGTAGATGTGGAAATGGTGTGTGTCCACATTAAGGAACTAAAATCATCTTAGCAGTGATGCGAGTCAGTACAAGTCATAAATCTTGTGTAAATCTGATGTAGGATGAGTTTTCCACTTCACCAGCCTGACAGTGAAACTGCCTGCTCTGTGATCGGCTCAAATCTAAATGCTTCAGTGGTTAGAGCGAGAGTGTGCGTGTGTTGGAGACAGAAAAAGATCTGTGTAGAGGAGGGTACAAGGGGAAAAAGCCAATTCCTTAAGGACATTAATTAGAGGCACAGCATGCAAGGAAGCCACATTTAACTCTGTGTGATCACATTACATTCAGGCTTTGTGCATGGAGGAGTAATGTGGGGATGTGCTCCATATGTGAGCTAAATACACAAACAAGGGCACGAAACCTCAACCTTTTATTATTACATGGTTCAGCGAATTCATGACTGCATCTGGACTAAGGTCAAATTCTGAGTTTTTTGGCAAAAAAATGGGTTATTATTATTTGTCACTGTATATATGTGAGAAGGTTTATACCAAAAAAAGTATTTAAAAAAGATAAAGTTGACATGTAGTATCAACTTTGCGCTTAAAATCACAGAACTGTGAGATAAAATGTTCTAGTCCTTCTATCTAGTGAGCTAACAATCAGTACAAACCACTAGAGATTTCTAGTGGATCCTAATGGATTTACACATGTTTCTGCTGGTCTGTAATGGTAGTACAATGGAATGGGTTATTCCTAATGGTTCCCGATGGCTTACCTACTTTTATTCTTAAGGTAATCATCTAACCACGAAACAAGGTCCTATTGGTTTCCGAGTAACCAGAAAATCTCAAATGGAAATCCTACACAAATCTGATGAAAACCATTAAGCCAAGTCCATTACATGCTGGAAAATACCACTTTTTTTTAATTAAAATGTTGAGTGTAAAAAACTAAAGTTGACATAGTGTATCTACTTTGAGTTTAATAAAAGTCTAAATCTAGACGTGTCAAATAGAATTATATTCCTTGCTAAAAATCAGTAAAAACCATTAGAGATTTCTAGTGGTTCCTAATGGATTTAAGTGTGTTTCTTGTGGTCTGTTTAATGGAATAAGTTATTCCTAATGGTTCCTGATAGCTTATCTCATTTTTCTTCTGATTAAAGAAGGCCCTAATGGGTTCTGGTGGTGTTTCTAATAACCACAATACCTGTAATGGAAATCCTACTGAAATGTGACTGAAACCGTTAAGCCAGTTCTCATTAAAGTCCGTTAAATGTCCATTAAATCACCGAAAGCCCATTAAACTATCAGAGATTTTTTTTTGTTTCAGAAATTGATTCCAAGGTCTGGAGTTCTTATAACGGCGACTGGTTAATACTAAAAAAGGCTACGTTACCAACCATGTATTATGACTCAGTTTAGTAAAACACACGCACACACACACACACACAGTGTTTGTGAACCAGTTAGCATAGCATAAGCACATAAAACAAGTGCCGGGATAAATGCTACAATACCAAACAAGGTAGGGTGTCTATGAATGAGCTCTAATGTATATTATCCTTCTTCTACAAGTCTCCTGTGCTAGCTACAAAGTGTGGTTGACAAATTAAAGGAAAAAAAACAAAAAAAAAAACAGGTTGCGCTCCGTTGCGCTGCGGGGGCATTTATTTATTTTCCCAGCATAGTTTGAGTCCACTTGTCCTCTTTGAGGGATGCATCACTACGAATCAATACAAAGTTCTTCTGACTGATCGCCTTTATCCTACGATGAAAAATTTCTATCCTGGTGGGAGTGGTCTCGTCCAAGATGGCTCCGCCCCATCCACAGGGCAAGATGGTTCGCTAAATGGTTCAACACAACACACATGAGAACGACTGAGGCCTCCAATACAGTTCCAGTGACTTGTAGAAACGACGCCAAGGAGCAATGAAGCTGTTCTGGCAGCTCGTGGTGGCACTTTATGTTGTTTTTTTCCTTTAATTCGTCACCCAGCGATAGACTCAGCATGGGACCCTACCGGGAACCCCAGAGGAAAAGGTATGTTTGACTTACATGGCAAACAACATAAACGATACCAAGAGGTTGGCAATCTGCTTTGTGTCTGCAACCTGTGGAGCACTTGGATTGCTTTCTAATAATAGTCTGCCTCAAAGCCTGGGTGGTCTATTAGTATTTGATTTCTAGTCTAGATTGGCCTATTAAAAGCATAATCACTAAAACAGCCAGTGTTCAGTGCATGCCACTAAAAAAATGTTGTATTTGTGAAACATTGTTTTTTTGCCTTGATTTAGATTTCAGTTTATTTTTAATGAAATTTATATAGAGAATATTAATGTAGCATCACAAACTGCATGATATGTACTTAGAAACCCAGCAGCATACCACAGAAATAGAGATTACCAGCTGCTGTATTCTGTATTTTTTATCAGAAGATAACATGAGCCGTTCCCTCTGGAAGCCGTTTTCTCCTAATTGTTACGTAATGTGGTGGACATTCAGGTCTCTAACTGTAATTACATTCAAATTGTTTCATACGGGGTCTTTTCTTATTTATTTATCAACATATTCGACAAAAACTGTATTTGACAATCTGCCTAATTTCTATCATTATTCTCCCTTTTCTGTCCAAACAGAAAATATATTGTGGATGTCCCACAACATTATATGTACACTACATCACCAAACATATGTAGACACCTGACCATCACACGCATATGTGGGTTTTCCACAAAGGTGGAAGCAGACAAATGTCTAGAATGTCTCTGTATGCTGCAGCTTTACGATTTCCCTTCACTGGAATTAAGAGGCCTAAACCTGTTCCTGCATGACAAATGTCCCTGTGCACAAACCGAGGATCATGAAGACATGGTTTGCCAAGGTTGGAGGGGAAGAACTAAGAGTGGCCTGCACAGAGCCCTGACCTCAACCCCACTGAGACCAGGCTTTCTCACCTGACCTCACTGACGTTTTTGCGGCTTTGGGCAAATCCCCACTTTCCAAAATCTAGTGGAGGGCCTTCCTGGTAGAATGGAGGCTGTCATAGCGAAAAAAAAAAAAAAAGGTGGGACCATTATTAAGGCCGATGGTTTTGGAATGAGATGTTTGGCAAGCACGTATGGTTTTGATGGTCAGCTGTCCACATAATTTTTGGCATACAGTGTCATAAAATGGATAAATGCATAAAAAAATAAAGATAAATTGCAATAATGTGGCAGATTGCTGTGGTAACAATAACTCCACTTCATGTCAGGCCACATCACACCACCTCGTCATTGACTGCTTTTTCCAATAGCACGTCCTATTGTGTTTTACACCTTACGTAATCACATTCTCTACTGCAATCAAGAATCCGAACTGTGCTTTACTGCATGCAGTTACACATGCAATTAATTTGACTTTGTTATCAAGCTCTTAGTGTATCTGCAAAGTACAAGCGTTATGTACACAAGATGACGAGGAGAGTGACAAGAATAATTATACGACTGTAGAGCTCACTGTTCAGCTCGATACTCTCAATAACAAGAACACATCTTCCCAAAGCCCCAGAGACATATCCACACTACTACAGAGTCAAGTGTCCTTTAATCATAGCAAGGATTCGTTAGTTAGAGGTATTCCAGTGAAATTTGGCTTAAATGAGAGGTCTAGAATTCAGTTTATAAGATAATAAATGACCATACAGTGCAGGAGGAAGTGACCTCAACCACACCAAAGACGAGGACATTGACATGAGGTAACTCAGTTGTTTAAGGTACGGTAATAAAAGTTGAAAAGCCGTACCCAGCGGCTCTCAAGTGGTTCCCATAAGTTCCTCATGTCTCATCCAGACGACCCTGTGAACTTCCTTTATTTACATAATTGCACCACTCAATCTATTTATTTGACATTCAAGGTCCATATGATTCAAAAGCTCATCACATTCCATGTCCAACAGATCTCAAGTTAGACACTCATGCGTTTAATTTTTCCTCGACTTTGATGTGGACATAAGAATGAGTCAGAGACCCTCGGCATTACGCTCGGAGTCATAGGCACATCATCACGGAGCGTGCATTAAACTGTCCCGT